ACTCTAACCATGAAAGGCAAAGATCATGTTATTCATCTCATCAGTTTCCAACACAATGCCTGGCATATGGGAAGTCTCAGAAATACTTGCTGTTGTTGAACAAATGACTGAATAAATGAAGACGTGATCAAGCAACCAATTTACCTTTAGATTGTAAATTTTATTTTTAAAATTAAAATGCCCAGGTAATCAGTTTAGTACTTGGCACAATGACCCAAGATGTGGGATAGGGGAGTATCCTTAACCCAACTTCTTGTTATATACATGACAAAATAGGTGGAATAATATGGGCGAGGCTGTTTGGGATCTGACCATGAAAACATGACAGCTCTTTATGGCAGTCATGCCCACACCCATGGCTGTCTGACTCTCAACCCAATCCCAAAGACTATCCCCAAATCTTACACCTTCTGGCCCACACTTCCATTGTTTAGGATTTGTTCCTCCCATGATCTCTCGGTGCTGGTTTCTGCAGGGCTGTCCTCTGGGAATAGGTGGGCCGGGGTCTCAGCGGTGGGCACTGGCTTGCTCTTTCTTCTTCTGCAGCTCCTCCCGCCGCCTTGCCTGCTGTTCACTCATGCAGTTCCTGAAGGCCTGCACCTGTGGCTGGCACTGCCGCCAGTCCTGGTGCTGGGCCATGCACTCCTGCACGGCATAGTGGGAAGCAGCACAGCCAGAGCGGGAGATCAGCTGGTCGAGCGGGTCCTCTTCCTCATCCTCCTCCTTCACCTGTCGGGCCCAGGTATGGCCTTGAGGGACTGAGGTTGACATGCTGGGGAGTCTCTAGAACATCAAGACAGGCAAGGTTAGAGCAACGACATGGTATATATGAGGTTTCCCTATTATAAATAGCACTGACCAAATGGCACTGTTGCAGCCTGTTTATGTGTCTGTCTTTCCTAGGAGACTGTAAGCTCTTTGAGGACAGATACTGGGCCTGATTCACCTTGGTGTCCCCAGCACTACGTAGCACTAGGCTTGGCAGAGAGCAGGCCTGCAAAATGGTTTGAACTGAGCTGAATGAAATAGTGTCTGAGAAGGCTTAGCAAAGCAAATGGCACTTAAGAAACTCAATGGATTCTGCTAATAAAATTTGAATTAGATAAAACATCACCTTTTTGGAGACACCATCTCTGATCCACCTCAAAAGAATTAATCTCTTTTTTCTCCTACTGGCCTTATTTTATGCCTGGAGAACAGAGTTTAG